CACACACACACACACACACACACACACACACACACACACACACAGAAACTATGAGGTGTTGGATATGTTAATTAACTTAATTATGATAATCATTTCACAATGTATATGTTTACCAAAGCATTAAGTTGTACATTTTGGGTTTTTTCCTCCTACCAAAAAAGTGCTTTAATAGTTAGAGATTGTCTAAAGTTCTCTCACAGAAGTCAATTCATTTGCATATTTCTCTTCAGTCAAAGCTAGGACACCCAGAGTGAGAACCCCCAGGAGCAGCCAGTCTCATGCAGGGGCCCAGGTAGGGGCTATCAGGAGAGCAGGTTGCAGGAGCTAGGCCAGGAGGCCATTCAGGAGATGACCTTTAGGCTCAGCTTGTGCCCCTCCAGGACCTGCAGGCAGTCCTGTCTCCTACATCCAGTAGGTGTCGTACAGGACCAGCTGTTCCAAGGCACAGCTGAGCTTCTGGAGGCTCTAATCAGCTGCTAGATGCCTGGGTCACACATGTAGTTGTCGCCTGAGGTCCCACTTGCATGGGCTGTGGTTGGCCAGTGGGTGGGAGGCCAGACTGCGGTAGCCACTCTCAGTCAAGTCGCATTCCCCAGCTAAGGCACCCACAGCATGGTGCCAGGCTGGCCCATGACCTGGCATAGTTCCTGAATGCCAGAGTACCCAGCTTGTTGTTGCTCATCTACAGCTCTACAAGATTCTGTTTTGAGTTAGCATCATGTTGAAGTGGTGGCAGCAGATAGCTGTAAGCTGTAGGACTTTACCCATGAAGAATGCAGCTGACAGCTATGCTCTTACAGGCTCTCACACAGCAGCCAGGCACCCTGTCCTCCAGTGCATTGCCCAGAAGGCTCAGCTCTTCAGGTTTACCTTGGCCCTAAGGACAGGGCACCGGTCTCTGCAGCTCTTGGTGGTGATGTCACAGTCCCAGAGCCATAGGGCCCTGAGCCAAGAGCTGGGGTGTAGCAGCCTGGGGCACAGCTGGACAATGCCCAGGTCGCCCAGCTTGTCACCCAGTTCCAGCTCCTTCATTGAAGCCTTGGAGGCCATGATGCCACACAGATCCTTACCATTGGCCTATGTGAGACTACAGTTCTGCATCATCAGCGCCTCCAGCTAGCAGGTGGAGTTCATGAGGCCCTGGCACAGTGCCCTGGGGCTGTCCTGGCAGATGTCGTCATTGCTCACCGTGAGCTCCTTGGAGTGTACTTGACCTTGAGCACCAAGGCTAGGGGCTCACAGCTGGCCACTAGCAGGTTGCAGAAGCTCTTTGCAGAGCAGCTAACAGGCCTGCATCTGCCAGTGGGTTGTCACTGAGGTGCAGTTCACACAGGATGGGTACTGAGTGCAGCATGTAGGGCAGAACCCCACAGCCAGCCTCCATTAGGCAGCAGTTCTGGAGGCTGAGCTTCTGTATCTTGGAGGTGGGGCTCTGCAGGCCCTGGAGCACCAGGTGCAGACCAGCATCACCCAGCTCTTTGGTGTAAAGGCTAAGCTTGGTCAGGGAGGGGTTGGCCTAAAGGGCAGAGGTAATATCCTTGCAACACACCTCTGTGAGGACCCTGTTGTCCAGCCTGACCACCTCAAATTGCTGAACAGAGAGGCAGGAGCTCTGTCCACCCAGCATCACTCAGCTGTTCACGCTGAATGTCCAGATTCCTGGTTCAAGGCAAAGTGGTTTTTTTGGCTGAGCCACTTTATGCCAGGGCCAGAAGCCTGTTGTACATTTAAATGTATACAATTTTGTCAATTATATGTCAAAAAAGCTGAAAAAAAAAAAAATTCATCTGTAGGTATTGCATTGCATTATATATATTTTAGGATAAGAGGAGTTGGAGGATTGTCTCTGCCAAAATAGATTTTCATTTTTACAGTTTTAAGTTTTCACATTCTTTATTTTATTTGAATTACATACATATTTAAGTATAATGGTATAAAAATGTAGTATTTCAATTTAGGCACTGCCTATGTCTTTTAATTTTCTTAATCCCAACATTGAAGTATGGCTTGTTTTGGTGCTAGAGGAGCTTTTTAAATAAAATGCTTTAGGGGTGCCTGGGTGGCTCAGTCAGTTAGGTATCTGACTTCAGCTCAGGTCATGATCTCAAAACTCACGGGTTTAAGCCCCACTTTGGGCTCTGTGCTGACGGCTCAGAGCCTGGATCCTGCTTCAGATTCTGTGTCTCCCTCTCTCTCTACCCCTCCCCCACTCACACTGTCTCTCTCAAAAATAAATAAACATTTTAAAAAATTTAAGTAAAATGCTTTAAATGCTCTAAATGTATATATATCTTATTTATTCCTCATCAACAGTCTCTTAGAAGCTAACACATTCAAAATTTACTTTATTTAATATCTATGTTTAATATTATTTATTTAACCTGTCTATTAATTTCTGCTTTATTTTCAGAACTGAAGGCAGAAGCTAGTCTAATGGACCAGATGAGTAGTTGTGATAGTTCATCGGATTCCAAAAGTTCATCATCTTCAAGTAGTGAGGATAGTTCCAGTGACTCAGACGATGAAGAGTGCAGATCCTCTCCTTCTGATCCAGGGACTTATATCTCAGGACATCCTGTCATGTCTGCCATGCCACAATGCAGGATTCCTGATATGGATGCTGGCCGGAATAGATCTCATGACAACAGTGGCCTTCTGATGAGTACTTTAAGTGAGTATATGTAAACATGAGTAATTGGAAAAGTAAGAATTCACTGTGGAGCCATAGTGATTTTGATCTAAAATTTGGATTAAAAGAATAAAACTCTTACTTTATTCATTTGATACTATGATTAATCATTACCTGCTTGTTGAATCATTCCTTTCCTTTTGACACTGTGACATTGTGTCTTATTGGTTTTTCTCCTGTCTCTCTAGATACTTTTCTGTCTCCTTTGCCAGTTTAGAATCTTCTACTCCATCATTAGAGCTGGAGTTCCTCAAGCAAGGCTTAATTCTAGGCCCTCTTTCCTTTTTCCACATTCTTTCCCTAGATAATCTCCTCCATATTTTTGTTGTAATCAATACTTACATATAGATAACTTGTAAATTTGCATCTCTGACCTGATCCTCTGAGCTCTAGAAACAGGTAGGTCCAACACCATCTTTCAGGAAAGGCATTCCAAATTCACTTTGTCCAAAAACCAACTTATAATCATTGGCTCACTGTGTTTCCTCTTAGTGAAAGGCAGGATTCATAATAATACAATCCAGAAGCCTAATTGTATATAAGGATTTACTTCCTCTCCCTTTTTGTAGCATAGTCAATCCATCATCAAGTCCTATTTATTTTACCTCCTTAATATTTCTCAAATTCATCTACTTCTCTGCATCTCCACTACTATTACTCTAATTCAACTTACCATATTTCTTGCATTTCACTCTGCAGTGATGTTCTAACTGGTTCACCCCCTTATCTACTCAAACCCAGTTTTGATCCATTATGTATATTGCAGCCATATTGCTCTTTTCATAATTCAAATATAATCTGTCACCCCTCCTGCTTTAAACTTTTCAGTGACTAGTACAGTTGAACCTTAAGCAACACAGGTTTGAACACTGCAGGTCCACTTTACATGGTTTTTTTTTTAATAGATTTTTTTTTTCAGTACTGTAAATGTATTTTCTTTTCCTTATAATTTTCTTAACATTTTCTGTACCTTGATTTATTATAAGAATATAGTATATAACACATATAGTAGTATATAGCATACAAAACATGTGTTAATTAACTACTTATATTATTGGTAAGGCCTCTGGTCAACAGTAGTTACGTTGTTGCGGAATGAAAAGTTATATACAGGCTTTTCACAACAGAGGGTCACCTCCCCTAACCACTCCCGCATCAAGTGTCATTTGTAATTTCTTCTATGGTAGAGACAAAACATCTTAACATAATGGTCTTGCTTTTTTTGTTCTAGTAACATTTACCTAATTTTTGCCACTATACTCAAACCTTTCACCCATATGAGGGTCCTTATACACTGCTGTTCATTCGGCCAGAAACACTTCCTTCTTTTCATGTAGTTAACTTTTTCTCCTTTAGATTACAGTTCAAGACACACTTTGTCAAGGATACCTTCCTGACAAGGTCAGATCCTCCTTTTTGCAGAACTTCAGAGCAATATCTTGCTTATGTCAGTTGTCATAATTATAAATTTATATCTTTTGTGTGATTTGCTTTCTTCTGAAGTTTAAGCTGCAGGAGGAGACCAGTCTTGTTTATTTTTTCACTTATCATTGAGTACTAGCACCTAGCATACAACCTGATACATAGTAGATGCTCAATAAATACATTTATTTATTTATTTTTATTTTTTTAATGTTTTATTTATTTTTGAGACAGAGGGAGACAGAGCATGAGCAGGAGAGGGGCAGAGAGAGAGGGAGACACAGAATCCGAAGCAGGCTTCAGGCTCTGAGCTGTCAGCACAGAGCCCGACTCAGGGCTCAAACTCACAAACCGCGAGATCATGACCTGAGCCGAAGTCAGATGCTTAACCGACTGAGCCACCCAGGCGCCCCGCTCAATAAATACTTTTTAATAAAAGCATACAGGTTGATAGTCTCAGGAGGAAAATGGGACTGTATGTGTATTTAAAGCTAATCTCACTGTGTTAATTAATAATGATAAAGAAAACGACTGACTCTAGCTAGCCGTATAACAGAACAGATCCAGTTTCATTCTTTTGCATATATTTGTCCAGTTTTCCCAGCACCATTTATTGAAGAGGCTATTTTTCCCCATTGTATATTCTTGCCTTCTTTGTCATGATTAATTGACCATATAAATGTGGAGTTATTTCTGGGCTGTCTATTCTGTTCCATTGATTTATGTGTCTATTCCTCTGCCAGTACCATACTGTTTTGATTATTATAGTTTTATAGTATATTTTGAAATCTTTAATGAATAAATTTAGAATTAAGAGGAGCAAGACACCATTCAACACACCATGTCAACAATTTTTATCTTTATTTAACTTGTTGAAATAAGGATTAGAAAGCATTCATATCACTAATATGTTTTCCAAAACAAATACAAAAATCTTTGTGAAGTAAAGATTTAAAATAAAGATATAACACTATTTCAAAAAGATATGTGCACCTATGTTTTTGCAGCATTACTTACAACATTTAAAGTAACATTTAAAAAAATGTAAAGTCTTCTTTCAGTTTACATAATAGTTCATTAAATTTCAGTAAATTTTAAGTCTGTGCAAAAGAATAGTTTATAAAACTGAAATTAGGTTCCAGCCTTAAAATTACGAACAGGTCTTCCAGGTACATGAATATACTAGTGGACTTTGAAAAGCTTTGCACAATGTGGTAGAGTTCTTTATTGTGTAAGACTTGTTCCTACATTGTAATACATTTAGCATTCCTAAATTCCCCTCTCACTAAATGCCACTAACAATCTGCAAATCATCCAAACAACACTTCAAATAAATTTCTGTGCCATCTCCAAGGGATCAGTATTGCTGTCATTGAGAACCACTGGCTTAGGAATCTGAATGCATTTGCTATGGGTAAACTCTTTTTTCCAAGTCACAGTTACCATTTTGATTGAAAATATGTTTCCTTTACTAGTATGTCATGTTCAAAGGCTAATCTGGATACCTTCAAGTCAACTGAATATTTCAACACCACGGTGATACTATGCATATAACCCATACAGCATGAAGTCTATTACAAAAGTAGAACTCGGGACATTGGGTTTGACTTAAGAAACTCATACTATGGGGATCGTGTCAAGTTGAACATTCTTATGCCATACAATAGTTGTGTAATAAATGGAAACTTAATCCTTAAAAATTATAAAATGGTCATGCACAAAAGAAGCTTTAGCAGATTTCTTTATCAAATAATGTAATAGTTCTGGAGTTCATGCAGTGAACTGAGCTGTCTTGCAACAACTTATATATGGCCTAGAAACCACTTCTCTTAAACTGGGTATTAACTTCAAAATAGGCCAGCTTTTTGTTGATTTTGGACTAGTTTAAAAATACAAGAATATTTTTAACCATTGTAATTTACTACCCAAATGATATTATCCAATTCCATATCTTCAAATAAACCCCTGCAGTCAGTGACTCCCAAATCTTTATTTCCAGCTCCAACCTCTACCATGTCAGACTTATATATCCAATTGCCCATAGCATATATACTTGAAAATTTACTAGGTATCTCAAATGTGTCATGTTGAAAATTGAACTTGTAATTTTTTCACATAATCTTGTTCCTCTGGTATTTCTCATCTCAGTAAATGATGCCACCATCCAGTTGTTTAGATCAGAAATGCCAGGAGTCATTCTTCACTTTTCTCTTTCTCTCATGCCCTAAATCCAATACTTTTGATAGTCCTGTAAGTTCTATCTTTATATTTTAATCCTGACTGCTTAGCACCACCTCCACCCGAGCCACCTGAATCAAAGCCAGTATTATTTCTTATGTGAGAAACTCTGATACGATTATAGTGTATTATAGTGTATTCACTGATCTAAAACAGTTCAAGTCAATGTCTGCTTAAAATTTTCTGATGACTCCCATTACATTTCAACCAAAACCCAAAGTTTTTATCATAACCTAGAAACCATGGTTTTCTGGACATCTTCCTGACCTCATTTCCTATCATTCTCTTCCTCATTCATTCCACTTCAGCCAGCAAACACAACCATGCTTCTGCCTTAGGATATTTGTATTTCCTGTTCAGGCTTGACAGTACCTGCCCTCCTTCCACAGTTTTATGACTTTCTACATTTGGATCTCTGTTCAAATGTCACCCTTCAAGGAGACCTGCCAACAACTATCATATCTAAAATAGCACCTTCCACCACTCTTCCATCACTAATCTTCATTTTTTCATAGTATTTATCCCTACTTGACATCATATTATATATTTGTTTGTTTACTGTCTGTTTCCCCCACTGGGATATAAATTCCATTACTGTAAGCGCATTGATGAATTACAAAAGGAACCAATGGTGAATTACTCTTAAAATATACTACTTAATGTTTTGACTGAATTTGATGTAAAAAAATTATGTAACTTTTTCACTCTTCAAAATGATGTAGGCTGATCTAAACCACATTTTTTCGCATTTCCTGATGTAATTAAATCAGTGGGATAAAAAGAAAAGTGGTGTTGGTATGTGAAAGAAGACTAAAAGAGATGCCAGGTGATACTAAAACTATGCTGACGATTGATGTTTTCTTTACAAGCAATATTAATTTTTCAAATTACTAATGAAGTGACTAAATTATAGAATAAGCAATCTGATTATTAATGACAAAATGCTAACTAAATGGGATCACTCGGTGTTACATTTTGTATAATATTTATGTTCATCCAAAAATAAATATATTAAATATGAAAATATTAAATAATTACTACAGTTTTGCTATTTTTTTTTATTTTAGGAAATGATTTGCAGCTGAGTGAATCAGGAAGTGACAGTGATGACTGAAGAAACTTTCAGCTATATATATAAAATTTGTAAGACATGGGATAATTTATATTAAGAGTAAAAATTCCTAAGACTGAAGAAAATGTATCTTAACTTTTGATGATAAAGGAAATTAAATTTGATTCAGAATTTTCAGTTGATATGATATTTTTGATCTTTTCTGAATTCTAGCATTTTCATGTGCATTCCATTTCCAAGGTTTTACAGATGAGAAAACAGAATTTAGGTAATTTGCCCACATATTGTTAGTTGACAAGTGGCAGATCAGGTGTTCTAGAGTTCAACTTCAATGCTCTGTTTTATAACACTGCTGTCTCCAATTGTGAAATGTCAAAACAATTTATTTATAATGATTTTAATTGTATCTCTGAGCCTTTTATATATGATAATCCTTAGATTTTGGTTGAAAATATTTAAATTCTTAACAAAATTAAGCTATAATTTAGAATAAAAGTAAAGCTAGATAATTGTTTTAATGAAACTGTTTTTGTATCTCATAATATTTTTTTAATTTTGCTTTTGAGAGAAAAATAAGCAGTTAAGTGTTAAGTAGATAAATATTACTTACATCTGTAGTATTTTTGAATTTGGGGGAAATGATAAATATTATAGTTGAAAGCCAATGACCATAGCAAGTTCTTTTTTTTTCTTTTTTCTTTTTTTAAGTTCTTTTTTTTTAATTAAACTTCACTTTTTAGAGAAGTTTTAGGTTCATAGTAAAATTGAGCAGAAAGTACAGAGAATTCTCATATACTCCCTGTTCCCCAACCTCCCCCACTATAAACATCCTGCACCAGAATGGTATGTTTTTACAATTGATGAATCTTACATTGACACATCATCACCCCAAGTCTATAGTTTGCATTAGAGTTCACTCTGCATTGTACATCCTATGGGTTTTACAGATGTATAGTGATATGTATCCACATTGTAGTAGTATACAAAATCATTTCGCTGCTCTAAAAATCCTGCACTCTGCCTGTTCATTTATTTCTCCCCCACCCCCAACCCCTGGCAGCCACTGATCTTTTTACTGTCCCCTTAGTTTTGCCTTTTCCAGCATGTCATAAAGTTAGAATCATACAGTATGCTGCCTTTTCAGATTGACTTCTTTCACTTAAATATGCATTTAAGTTTCCTCCATATCTTTTTCATGGCTTGATAGTTCATTTCCTTTTAGTACTGAGTAAACATTATATTGTCTGGATGTATCAAAGTTTACTTATTCACCAACCTACTGGAAGAATTTTCCTTGCTTCCAAGTTTTGGCAATTTAAGTTGAATAAAATTTTTTCATAATTACCTCTTACCATAGGAATTTTGTAGTTTATTTTTTTTTAAATCCTTACGTTTTGGTTTTAATCTCTCCTACTTTCTTCTCTCTCTCTCCCTTCTTCTCTCTTCAACTAATCTATTTGTATATTCATTTTTATATCTTTTTTATTCATCAATACTTATCTGAGAAACACAGCTGTATCATTTATTACTTAACTAAAGCAAGCTCAAAGAATATTACTCAGCCATCACAAAGAGTGAAATCTTGCCATTTGCAACGATGTGGATGGAGCTCGAGTGTATTATGCTAAATGAAGTAAGTCAGTCAAAGAAAGACAAATACCATATGATTTCACTCATATGTGGAATTTAAGAAACAAAACAGATGAACATACAGGAAAAGAAAAGAGAGAGAGAAACTATAAAAGACTCTTAACTATAAAGAACAAACTGAGGGTTGATGGAGGGAGGGAGGTGCAGGCTGGGCTAAATGGGGGATGAGCATTAGAGAGAGATTTGTGATGAGCACTGGGTATTGTATGTAAGTGATGAATCACTAATTCTACACCTGAAACCAAGTTTACCATGTATATTAACTAACTAGAATTTAAATAAAAACTTGAAAAAAAATAAAACAAGCTTGAATATTTAAAGTAGCTAGTAAAACAATATCATTCTAACATAGGAATACAAATTATAATGGTTTTTGCTGGAAGTCGTTATGCTGAGATTTCTTTGACTAGTGTTTATCAGAAATGAGTACATGGTGGTATGAGCTGATAATGCTGGCTACATTAACAGTATGTTCTCAAACTATACCTCTTGCAATCAAAACAGCTCATCCTCTCTTCCCCCTATTATTTCCCCTGTAAATGAAACACGTTCTTAAAGACTTTTTTTTTTTATAGTGTGAATACCTAGAGTATCATTCTCTATACCGTTTAAGGATAAATATAAGTACAATAAAACCTTGGTTTGCAAGCATAATTAATTCTGGAAATATGCTTATAATCCAAAGCATTTGCATATCAAAGTGAATTTCCCCAGAAGAATAATGGAAACTCAGATGATTCGTTACACAACCCAAACTATTCATATAAAAATTATTACAATACTGTAATACAAAATAATAAAGAAAATATACAGAAAAATAAACAAATTAACCTGTAGTTACTTTCGAAAACCTTCATGGCTGCTGTGAGGGAGACAAAAGAGAAGAGGGTTATTGTATAGGATGAATTTGACTATCACTGACAGAATCACTGCTATCTATTGGCTCAATGGAATCTTTTTCTTTTCATACAGCTTTAACAGGGAACCTATCCAATGACAAGTACTTGCTTTTGCCTCCTTTTGAGGATTTCACAGAAATGTGATATTGCATTGATGATCACCCACAATCCCGCAGCAAGAGAAAGAGAAGAACCATTGGCTTAGTTGTGATCATGTGACATTTTACATCATGTACTACTCATATTGGAAGACATCTCTTGTTTACCAAGTTAAAATTTATTAGAAATGTTTGCTCATCTTGCAGAACACTTGCAGAACAAGTTACTCACAATCCAAGGTTTTACCGTAGTTTAAAGAGGAATGAAATAATATCTCCCATGCCTCCGTACCTCCTCATTGGATGTGTTTTCAGACATTGAAATGCAGGGAGCTATGGATGAGACAGATTCTCAGATATGAGTTTCTCTGTCAGAATCATCTGATGATCCTAACATGATGCCAAGTAAATATCTTTTCCCCATCTTCATTGAGATATAATTGACATATAACATTGATAAGTTTAAGGTGTACAATGTGATGATTTGATACACATATATATTATGAAATTAATACTACAATAAGGTTAGTTGACATAAGGACATGTCATGTTACTTTACCTGTTCTGAATGGTTTGATGAAAATGATGATGATATAAGCATACAAGTAGGAAAAGTAAGTTGGCTACAAAGGAACAAAAATCAATAGGTTTGAACCATTCCATAATACTATGCTAAAACACTAAAGTTGGGAAAGCTGCACCTGCACAAGGATATGAGTGTGACCTATAAATAGTTTATGCATTAAATGTCATCCATAATTTGGTAAGAAAGCGTTCTTAGACATGCCAGAATTTGCGAAATATATCATTCACATATAATTCCTATACTTTCCAATTTGTTAAGAGATGGGTCAAAATTAAGAACTCAAGTATGGAAAAAACAATTCATTGAATCATTATTTATAATAGCCAAGATATGAAAACAACCTAAGTGTTCATTGATGGATGAATGGTTAAAGAAGATGTACACATACATAATGGACTACTACTGAGCCACAAATAAAGAATGAAATCTTGCCATTTGTAGCAACATGGATGGGCCTTGAGTGTATTAAGTGAAATAAATCAGAGAAAGACAAAAAAAAAAAAAAAATGGAAAAAAAAACATCATAACAATCTTCTAAGAAGGTTGATAGCTCTCCTACCCACCCTGCCCTCATGAAGGGGACTCACTCAGTTTGTGGGAGTAGGGGACATTCATGCCCTGCAACATTTTATGAGGAAGTGACCTCGCAGATGCTGGCCAGTGGAGAAGAGCCAAGAGCTTAGCCCTACTAGCCTGAGGTTGTAATCCTAATTAGGACAATGACATTTGAGAATAGGCTATGTGCATGCACCAAGCTATTCACACACTCCTGACTAACCCTAGGGCTATGTACATGTGCATAAGACACTGAAAAGGGCCTGATGAAAAGCAAAATCTGGAAAGACTTGAAAACAGCCTGAACTTCGGACACACTCCCCCATACACACAGATCCATCAGCAAAGGACAAAGCCTTAGTGATTCAAAATGTTTGACTTATGAACTCTGCCCAGTCTTGGACTTTTCTGAGTAAAACATACTGCTTCACTTCCACTTTCCAAATCTCACTCAGGTCTTTCTGGCCTAGACCCATCTAAAGAATATGATTCTTGGAAACACAGTTCCTAGTTTAAACAAACTTGACAATAAACAACCTAAAAACTGGGAGCAACTAAAATGTCCATCAACACAAGAAGAAGGAAATGAACTGTGGCATATTTGTACAGTGAATTCTACTGAACAATAGGAAAAAAAAAAAAACTTGTCACAGACAACGAAATAGACGAGTCTCACAGTCAAACACAAAGAATACAAATAGTATTACTCCATCTATGTGAAATTCAAAACTGACAAAATAAATCTATGGTGATAAGTCAGAATAGTGATTACTTTGGGGAAGGAGGGTTGGCTGGGAGACAGAAGGGAAGCAGCAAGTATTATTCTAGCACTGAGGTGCTAGAAATACATATACATATTTTATATTAAGTGGGTGATGGTTGTGTAGTGTAAAAAAAATTACATTTGTGTAATGTAAAAAAATGGAGTTTTACACTTAAGATTTGTGCATTTTAGGTTATACTTAATTTTAAAAGTCCAAAAAACAAGATCAATAGAAAAAATATTTGCAATACATAATAATATTATTATAATATTAATGGCAGACCATTAATATCAATAAATATAGATTTTATAAACTTACAAGAAGGGGTAAAACAACTCGTTAAGAAAATGAGCAAAGGAAATGGATAGGCAGTTCTATAAATTATAAAAACATACATTTTTAGCAATCTCACTTCTAGATATTTATCCTTTAGATACATTTGACTTACATAAAAGGTTATTATGACAGTATTATTAAAAATAGGAAACTCAAAACAACCTGGATATGCATCTTTTTGTTAGTGATTTTTGGAGTTATTTATATAGCCTGGACACAAATCCTTTGACAGATATATGTAATATGAATATTTTCTTGCACTCTATGAGTTGAATTTTCACTCTTAATGCGTATTTTGGTGAACAAAACTTCTTAATTTTAATACTGTCCAACATATCAATTTTTTTTCTTTTATGGTAATGTATTTTTATGTCTTATTTAGGAAATCTTGGCATATGCCACAGAGAACATCCCACAGAGAACAGAGATGTTCTCCTATGTTTTCCTCTAAAAGCTTTATTTTTAAAAAGCAGATCCACAATCTATATAGAATTGTTTTTTACCTATGGTGTAAGATAAGGGTTATAATTAATTTTTTCCATATGGATATCCAGATTGTGTTTATTTATTGAAAACCATTTCCTCCACTGCATCACAGTGTCATCTTTGTCATTAATGATATCTCAGCACATGTGTAGGTCTTCTGAACTCTGTTTTGTTCCATTGTTGCCTTACCTAGCTTGGTGTTGATTCCACAGTGTTATAATTATTATAGTTTTATAACAGGTCTTATATTGGGCAGCGCAAGTCCTCCACTGCTATTAGTCAAGACTGCCT